CAAATATCATCCCAAAATAAAATCGCCCAAATCGGTGCTTAATGGGCTTACTCATTGGCAGAGAATTGGATCAATAGACTTCATTATCGGTGGAGAATAACCTCGGGTTGAATCCGTGATCTGTAGCATCCAAAATAGAAAGAAAATAGCATTTCAGAAATATCACCCGAAATCAGTGTTGGTACCCCTTTGGGATCTGCCGAAAATTGACACGGAAGATATTGCGCCCGAATCGGTACTTAATGGACTTAATCATCGTTGATGAATAGCCTCAGACCAAATTCGTAATTTGTAGCCATCAAAATCCATGGAAAATGGCCTTTCAAAAAAAATAGTCTAAAAAATTACGAAAAATGGCATCCCAAAATAAATTCGCCCATATTGGTGCTTAATTGGCTTAATCATTGGCGGAGAATAGGATCAATAGACTTCATTATCGGTGGAGAATAGCCTCAGGTTGAATCCGTGATCTGTAGCCTCCAAAATCGAAAGAGAATAGCATTTCCGAAAAATCGCCCGAAATCGGTGATGGTACCCCTTTGGGATCTGCCGAAAATTGATCCAGAAGATATCCGCCACAATCGGTGTTTAATGGACTTAATCTTCGTTGAAGAATAGCCTCAGACCAAATTCGTGATCTGTAGCCTTCAAAATCCATGAAAAATGGCATTTCAAAAAAAATCGTCTAAAAAATTATGATAAATGCCATCCCAAAATAAAAACGCCCAAATCGGTGCTTAATGGGCTTAATCATTGGCGCAGAATAAGATCAATAGACTTCATTATCGGTGGAGAATAGCCTCGGGTTGAATCTGTGATCTGTAGCCTACAAAATCTAAAGAAAATAGCATTTCGGAGAAATAGCCGGAAATCGGTGATAGTACCCCTTTGGGATCTGCCGAAAATTGACCCAGAAGATATACGCCCGAATCGGTGCTTAATGGAATTAATCATCGTTGAAGAATAGCCTCAGACCAAATCCGTGATCTATATCCTTCAAAATCCATGGAAAATGGCCTTTCGATAAAAATAGTCTAAAAAATTACAAAAAATGGCATCCCAAAATAAATTCGCCCAAATTGGTGCTTAATGGGCTTAATCATTGGCGGAGAATAGAATCAATAGACTTCATTATCGGTGGAGAATAACCTCGTGTTGAATCCGTGATCTGTAGCCTCCAAAATAGAAAGAAAATAGCATTTCGGAAAAATCACCCGAAATCGGTGATGGTACCCCTTTGTGATCTGCCGAAAATTGATCCGGAAGATATCCGCCCCAATCGGTGCTTAATGAAATTAATCATCGTTGAAGAACAGCCTCAGACCAAATCTGTGATCTGTAGCCTTTAAAATACATGAAAAATGGCCTTTCGAAAAAAATCGTCTAAAAAATTACGATAAATGCCATCCCAAAATAAAATCACCCAAATCGGTGCTTAATGGAGTTAATCATTGGCGCAGAATAGGATCAATAGACTTTATTATCAGTGTAGAATAGCCTCGGGTTGAATTTGTGATCTGTAGCCTCCAAAATCGAAAGAAAATAGCATTTCAGAAAAATAGTCGTAAATCGGTGATGATACCCCTTTGGGATCTACAGAAAATTGACCCGGAAGATATCCGCCCAAATCGGTGCTTAATGGACTCAATCATCGTTGAAGAATAGCCTCTGACCAAATCCATGATCTCTAGCCTTCAAAATCCATGGAAAATGGCTTTTCGAAAAAAATCGTCAAAAAAATTACGAAAAATTGCATCCCAAAAAAAATTCACCCAAATCGTTGCTTGATGGGCTTAATCATTGGCGGAGAATAGGGTCAATAGACTTCATTATCGGTGGAGAATAGCCTCGGGTTGAATCCGTGATCTGTAGCCTCCAAAACCGAAAGAAAATAGCATTTCAGAAAAATCGCCCGAAATCGGTGTGGTACCTCTTTCGGATCTGGCGAATATTGATCCGGAAGATATCCGCCCGAATCGGTGCTTAATGGACATAATCATCGTTGAAGAATAGCCTCAGACCAAATCCGTGATCTGTAGCCTCCAAAATCCATGGAAAATGGCCTTTTGAAAAACATTTCTAAAAATTTACGAAAAATGCCATCCCAAAATAAAATCGCCCAAATGGGTGCTTAATGAGCCTAATCATTGTCGCAGAATATGATCAATATACTTCATTATCGGTGGAGAATAGCGTCGTGTTGAATCCATGATATGTAGCCTTCAAAATCGAGAGAAAATAGCATTTCGGAAAAATAGCCCGAAATCAGTGATGGTACCCCTTTGGGATCTCCCGAAAATTGACCCAGAAGATATCCGCCTGAATCGATGCTTAATGGAATAAATCATCGTTGAAGAATAGCCTCAGACCAAATTAGTGATCTGTAGCCTTCAAAATCCATGGAAAATGGCCTTTCAAAAAAAATCGTCTAAAAATTACGAAAAATGCCATACCAAAACAAATTCGCTTAAATCGGTATTTAATGGGCTTAATCATTGGCGGAGAATAGGATCAATAGACTTCATTATCGGTGGAGAATAGCCTCAGGATGAATCCGTGATTTGTAGCCTCCAAAATCGAAAGAAAATTGCATTGCGGAAAAATTGCCCGAAATCGGTGATCGTACCCTTTGGGATCTGCCGAAAATTGACTCGGAAGATATCCGTCTGAATTGGTGCTTAATGGACTTAATCATCGTTGAAGAATAGCCACTGGCCAAGTCCGTGATCTGTAGCTTTCAAAATCCATGGAAAATGGCTTTTCGAAAAAATCATCTAAAAATTACGATAAATACCATCCCAAAATAAATTTGCCCTAATCGGTGCTTAATGTGCTTAATCATTGGCAGAGAATAGGATCAATAGACTTCATTATCGGTGGAGAATAGCCTCGGGTTGAATCCGTGATCTGTAGCCTCCAAAATCGAAAGAAAATAGCACTTCGGAAAAATCGTCTGAAATCGGTGATGGTACCCCTTTGGGATCTGCCGAAAATTGACCCGGAAGATATCCACCTGAATCGGTGCTTAATGGACTTAATCATCGTTGAAGAATAGCCTCTGAGCGAATTCGTGATCTGTAGCCTTCAAAATCCATGGAAAATGGCTTTTTGAAAAAAATCGTCTAAAAAATTACGACAAATGCCATCCCAAAATAAATTCGCCTAAATCGATGTTTAATTAGCTTAATCATTGGCGGAGAATAGGATCAATAGACTTTATTACCGGTGGAGAATAGACTCGGGTTGAATCTGTGATCTGTAGCCTCCAAAATCAAAAGAAAATAGCAGTTCGGAAAAATCGCCCGAAATCGGTGATGGTCCCCCTTTGGGATCTGCCTAAAATTGACGAGGAAGATATCCGCCTGAATCGTTGCTTAATGGACTTCATCATCGTTGAAGAATAGCCTCATACCAAATTCGTGATCTGTAGCCTTCAAAATCCATGGAAAGTGCCTTTCGAAAAAAATCGTCTAAAAAATTATGAAAAATGACATACCAAAATAAATTCGTCCAAATTGGTGCTTAATGGGCTTAATCATTGGCGGAGAAGGATCAATAGACTTCATTATCGGTGGAGAATAGCCTCGGGTTGAATCCGTGATCTGTAGCCTCCAAAATCGACAGAAAATAGCATTCCGGAAAAATTACCCGAAATTGGTGATGGAACCCCTTTGTGATCTACCGAAAATGGACCTGGAAGATATCCGCCCGAATCGATGCTTAATAGACTTAATCATCGTGTAAGAATAGCCTCAGTCCAAATCCGTGATCTGTAGCCTTCAAAATCCATGAAAAATGGCCTTTCGGAAAAAATCGTCCCAATTTTTTCTTAGAGACCGTGAACTGAAGCTCCAGCCTGTGAACATGGCTCAACCTCCACTTTTGGCTCGTTTTGACCTCCGAATGACCCGAAACTAGTCTCGGACCTTCCCACACGTGCTGGGACCTAAATGTACCAAAACAAGCACAACCTAGCGTAAAATAGGTCTAGAGACAATGAAATGAAAAGTCAAACTATCAAGAAATGATGGGTGAAATGTGTGCATTTAGACCTGAATCAGTCCATTTTTTGGCAAATTCGAAATGGGTACCATCACCGATTTTGGGAAATTTTTCTTAAATGCAATTTTCTTTTGATTTTGGAGGCTACAAATCACGGATTCAACCCGAGGCAATTCTTCACCAATAATGTAGTCTATTGATCCTATTCTCCGCCGATCCATTAAGGATCGAATTGGGCCAATTTATTTTGAGACTAAATTTTCGTAATTTTTTGGGCGCTAGATGGAATGAAAGTCCATTTTCCTTGGATGTTGAAGGCTACAAATCATAGATTCGGCCTGAGGCTATCTTTCAACGATGATTAAGTCCATTAAGCACCGATTTGGGCAGATTTCTTCCGGATCTATTTTTGGCAGATTCAAAAAGGTGGTATCATCATTGAGTTCGGGCGATTTTTTCGAAATACCATTTTCTTTCGATTTTGGAGGCTATAGATCACGGATCAGCCCGAGACTATTCTCCACCGATAATGAAGTATATTGATCCTATTCTCCACCGATAATGAAGTATATTGATCCTATTCTCCACCGTTGATTAAGTCCATTAAGCACCGAAATGACATTTTCGTAATTTTTTGTGCAATAGATGGATTGAAAGACTATTTTTCTTGGATTTTGAAGGCTACAGATCACGGATTCGGCCTGAGGCTATTCTTCAATGATGATTAAGTCCACTAAGCACCGGGTCATTTTTGGCATATTCAAAAGGGATACCATCACCTAATTCATGCAATTTTTCCGAAATATTATTTTCTTTCAATTTTGAAGGCTACATATCATGAATTCAGCTCGAGGCTATTCCCCGCCTTCAAACAATGAATAACAGACTTAACTAGAAATGGGCTTAGTCTTCAATGCTATTGCGATGTGATGTCCGGCCCATTTCAAATCAATAATTTTAACGCGGAAAATCATTGACCCAAGACTTTCCCTCCAATAAGTCAACACCTCACCCAGCTCTTTAATCAACCAGTTTTCTCTGGTTCTCCAAACATTCGTTAATGGGGGAAACACTGGAAAGCCAAAGATCAAAATTTCACCGAAAAGAGAAAAACTTCCGTACAATTCCTTCTTCTGCTTCTTCCCAGCTCTTAATCAATGGCGTCGCCGTCAATTGAACCGCCACCGCCGCCATGGATCTACCAGGTCTTCCTCAGCTTCCGAGGCGGAGACACACGCAACAACTTCGTCGACCATCTCTACAAGGAGCTGACGATCAAGGGAGTCTACGCCTTCCGCGACGATTCCAAGCTGGAGCGAGGGAGCTCGATAGCTCCGGCGCTGTTCCAGGCGATCGAGGACTCGAGAGCGGCCATCGTCGTTCTGTCGCCGAACTACGCTTCTTCCGATTGGTGCTTGGACGAGCTGGTGAAGATCTTGGAGTGTAGAGAGAGTTTGGGGAGGATGGTTGTGCCGGTTTTCCACAACGTCGACCCTTCCGATGTGGAGAAGCTGAGCGGGAGCTTCGGATTGGGGTTTTCGGAGCTCCGGGAGAGATTGTTGAAAGAGGAGATGGGGATGGAGATGGAGACGGAGACGGAGACGGAGGTGGAGAAGAAGGTGAAGAGATGGAAGGAAGCTTTATCAGAAGTTGCTACCATTTCCGGGTGGGATTCTCGCTACAGGTAAGGAAGTCATTTCGCGTATTTATTTATTTGGTGCGTAAATGCTCCTCTTCACTGTGAAGCTGAGTGTTTATAGCTTTGATTGTAGTGGAAAGGAAATGACTTTGGCCCTTCAACTATGTACAGGGAAGAGGCTGCTTTCATTGAGCAGATTGTGAGAGACATATCAGACAAAGTAATGTGTGCGCCATCAAGTGATGCTGGCGAGTTGGTTGGGATGGGTTCACGCCTAGAAGAAATCGACGAGCTCCTGCAGCTCGACACGAACATCGTTCGTATGGTAGGGATCTGGGGGTTGAGTGGCATTGGTAAGACAACTGCAGCCAGGGTTATGTTTGATAGGCATTCAAGGCAGTTTGAAGCAAGCTGTTTTCTAACAAATGTTGCAGACAAGTTTAGATTACATGGTGAATCCGCTTTACAGCATGAACTTCTTTCCAAAACCTTGTTGGAAAGGGATCTAAGAACTTGGCCTTTAGGGAAAGGTTGCAACTTGATCAAGGAAAGGCTGTCTCAACGAAAAGTTCTCCTTGTGTTTGATGATGTTGATGACTTGCAGCAGGTGGAACTATTAGCCAATAAGCTGAACTGGTTTGGTCCCGGAAGTAGGATCATTGTGATTTCTCAAGATAAACAGTTGCTTGAGGCACACGGTGTTAATGTTATCTACGAGGCCAAGTGTTTGGAAGATGATGAAGCATTGCAGCTATTCAGTCATTACGCATTCCATCAGAACCAGCCAAAGAAGGATTACTGGGAGTTGTCTCATGGCTTTGTATACTATGCCAGTGGTCTTCCTTTGGCTTTAAAGGTTCTGGGCTCTTTTCTTTACAACAAAAGCACATGCCAGTGGCAGAATGAGTTGAATAAATTGGAGAAATTTCCCAACCGAAAGATTCAAGATGTGCTGAAGATGAGTTATGATGGGCTGGAGGAGTTGGATAAGAAGGTGTTTCTTGATCTTGCTTGCTTCTTCAACGGAGAGAATGTGGACGAAGTAAGGGATATTTTGGATGCTTGTGGATTCTTCCCAGAGAGAGCGTTTGGAGTACTGATTGATAATGCTATAGTGACTATCTCTAACGGCAAGCTGTACATGCACGGGTTGCTACAACAACTAGGTCGTGAGATTGTTCGCGAGGAAGCGGAGGAGAATGGGAAACGCAGCAGGTTGTGGAAACCAGATGATGTCTATTATGTGTTGGCAAAAGGCACTGTAAGATAAAAATGTCTGAAAACTTTCTTGCGTCCCAATTTTTTCTTTTGGATTATCATTTAGAAAGGCTTCATCACTTACTCTGCTTGCTTGTGCTTTTGCTTTTTTTATGTTAGGGTACTAAGAGAGTTGAAGGATTGTTTCTTGACATGGCTAAATCAAGAGAGATGTGCTTGAGTCCCAAGGCATTCGAGAAGATGTTCAAGCTTAGATTGCTCAAGCTGCATAACCTCGAACCTTCTCAAGGCAGATACAAAGTTCAACTTCTGGATGAATGCGTGCAGAGTCTTTCTGATGAGCTGAGGTATTTGCGGTGGGATGGTTTCCCTTCAAAATCACTGCCATCACACTTTTGTCCAGAAAACCTTGTGGAGCTTAATCTGCCTTTCAGCAATATTGAGCAGCTATGGCCAGGAAAACAGGTATAAACTTCAGGAGTTCTAGATTTCAAGCTATGCTTCTTCACTTTTTACTCCTTCAACTCAATGTATATTATTTTTTCCCTCCCTCTGCTGCAGCAACTTGGTTACTTAAAACTGATCAACCTCAGCCACTCAAACTTGACTAAAATCCCTGACTTGTCAGCAGCTCAGAAACTTGAGATTTTAAATCTCCAAGACTGTACAAGTTTGGTTGAACTCTCTTCCATCCAATTCTTGACCAAACTCAAGAGCCTAAATCTGAAGGGATGCAAAAGTCTAGGCACTGTTCCAAATGTGGTCGGGTTAAAGTTACTTGAAACCTTAGATCTCTCTGACTGTTCCCAACTTGGCACTCTTCCTGAGCTTCCAAGGAACTTGAAGTATTTGTATGTTGGTGGCACTGCAATAGAAGAACTTCCTTCTTCGCTGGGGGGCCTTGCTTTTCTGGTCATCCTGGATGTAAAGAACTGTACAAGGCTTCAGCAGATTCCTATCAGTTCTAAACTGAACTCTCTTGAAAGCCTTGACATATCTGGTTGCCCACATCTCTTGAAGCGTTTGAGTGGGAATGGAAACGGTGAATTACCTGAATCAGTTGGATGTTGCTCAAGTTGCATGAGCCACATGGACATTGACACTGAGAACACAACATGTAAGTTCTTTGTTTCTTTCCCTCATCTATAAGTATCTAGAGCACTATGAAACTTTCTGAACTTTGATTTATGTTGCTTGATCTTCAGGTTTCCAAGGTACTAGTGGTAAAAGGGACCGTTCTTCACCGCCAACTTGTGCTCATATTACCAAAAAGATGGAAGAAAACGAAGAAGTAACTTTTCCGGCACAAGTAGCACCACAGAGAAAGCTTTTCAAACTGATCAAGGAAGCTAAGACAAATTCGACTTGCAATGGAGGAGTGCCTCAAATGAGTGAAAGAAGAACAAGCACTGCAAGTGATCGCCTCAAAGCTTATGCTAGAAATGGGTTTGAAGTAAGTCCAGCAGTCACTCACACTACCTCTTTATGCGTTTATGAAGGATTTGTCCTTATGCTTGTTTTTCTACCTTTCATCTCCACAGAAGTACTTTGCCAATGCACAGCTACTTCCAAAGCTCACTGAGGCAGAATTGGTCAAGAAGCTAGATGAGATCCAAACCTCCATCAAATTGCCATTGGAACATGAACAACCAAATGGATTCCGACACATTGAATACGAAACAGATGTTCTGTTCCATATCAGTGACACAGTTCGAACTGCCATCCCCTATGGGGAACCAGAGCTTTTCCAGGTCTCAGTTACACCAGCATCGATTTCAACCAACGGTACAATAGCCTCAAAGGTTAGGACATGTTTATCTTCCCCTATTTAGTTGAAGCTTCATTAAGATTTTCTACCATTAACTAGGATTTTGCTCAGTTGCAGATTTCATTCTCTTCAAAGACCTCTAAAGCAAGCTGCATGAAAGGATCAGCTATTTCCTCCCAGTCTTTCTCCAGCCTGCAGGTCTCATCGAGAAACTTGCTGCAGAAGTTATCAACCAGGGGCTGCGGTGACCAGACAGAAAAGTCTGCATACCCAAAACTGAATGGCAAAATCATTCAAGGTTAGTCAGAGTCGGGTGGAGTCCTGTTTCTGGTCATTGTAGAGTTCGGTCATATCGAGTCATGTCCTGAGTCGCAACTCAATATTGCAGGTCCTGAGACTCGTGACGGTCAGATAGAAAGTTTGTTACCTCTAACTTCTTTTACGTGATGGAATGTTTTAACCATACATCGATCTGCATTGTTGTTTCAAACAGGTTCCAAACTAGACAGCAACGGTCTGAACAACATCCACCACTATCGGCAAATCTTGGCCGAATATATGACCATGTCAGTCGAAGCAATCCACCAGGCCAACGCCTTCGACACCATCGAGCGCACCACATACGCATTGATCCAGCACAGCACCGATGAACCAGCCGAGAAAACCGAGCTTGAAAACTTACTCACCATCCTAGCCAAGTTCAAGACCACCATCCCGGGCACAATGATCACCATGAAGATGGCACATGCCAAGCGAACCAGCCACCCTATAAAGACCACGATGGTGGACGCGAGGCTTGTCCTTGGGCAGGAGAAGCTCAGCTGGCTTGAGTCAAGGTCGAGGGTCGTCACCGAGGAAGAGGAGAGGATTGATGCTGATATCCGGCGGCTGATGGCTAGGAAGAAGAAGCTGGCTGAAAGGAAGGGGAGGATTGCAGTGCAGTTGGAGAGGACTGCTGAGAAGGTGATGAAGGATTTGGGGAAGGTGGAGAGGTTGGAAGAGGAGATTAAGGAAGCCGATGAGAAGTGGGTTGAAGGGAAAGAGAGTTTGGATGCGGCTAATGCTAGTTGGAGAGCCATGAGGGAAAGGTTGAAGCTTTGAGAAGGGAACCAAAACCGGAGAAGATCTATGCTTTTGCCTTGTTGTGCAGGATATGAAAATATGTATACCTTAGATGATCATAATGTAGGTTTTGTTTGTTGTAGCGTTGAAAGGGAACTAAAAATAATCAATATACTGAAAAATCTATGTATGTTTTGGCTTGTTGAACAGGTTTGATGATGATGATAATGTACGATTCTTGTGTTCTCATATTTTGAGCAACTTCACATTACGACTTTATTTATTGAGAAAAAGTGTTTTCTTATGTTGCTCATATTTAAATGTTCAAATTATGCATCGACATGACTTCACTTATTACGACCTACATATCAAATTTACATTTATTTAAAATGTATTACAATAAATAAAAAAACAATACAATAATAATAAGATGTCAATTTCACCTTTTGCTTAATTTTCATTCACCAAGGATGCTTTACCAAAATGGAGGAAAATGGTACATTGTGGATATTAAAGAGGTTGATATATAAGCAAAAAAGGGAAAATGATTATGTTTAGATAACTATATACCAAAAAGAAACCAAATTCATGCCTGGTCAATTTTGGCTTTTGGATTGGGAAAGGATTAGTTCTATTTTTTAATATGTGAATACCAAGAATTGTCTTCTTCCTATTATTATTTACTTAGTAGTTAGATTTAGGGATTAATTTCTTTTTTGTAAATGGAAGTGGCAAAATCTCATGTATAAACCTATTTGCAATGCTCCAATTGCCAAGATGGGGGAAAGCCTTTTCTTTTGTCAAGTTTCTTGTGTTGTGTTTTCCCTTGTCTCCTTTCTTCATCCAAAAAAGAAGAGGAAAAAAAAGTTGTTAGGTGTTGGTGTTTGTTTGAACTTCTAGAAAAACATATACAAAAACTGGACTGGGGTGGGGTGGGAAACTCTAAATTATAGAAAGCTCAATGTGTTACGTTATAAACAACGTAATCGTGTGGATATCTGACTCTATTTTACTTAATCAACGTGAAAATTTGATATATTTTTTTCTCAAACATGGTCGATTATGGGGAATGCTCGCAAAGAAAAGGATGGGGATGGGGTTAGATGGATCTAGGTTCCTAGCTTCCATTTTGATCCCCGGTATCCATCCTAAATTCAACTTATGTATTATATACACCCAATTATATGTCATCTAATCCCCTCTTCTCACCCTTCACAAAAAATCCAAAACACAACTTTAAACTCTTCAATATCATGACTTTTTCAATTCCATCAAACGCATACATGCCACATTTTGAACCTAATTTTCTATTAACACTTTATATTTTTATTATGTTTATCATTACTCTCTACATTTCAACGTTCAAGTTCAAGCTCCAAATCGAACGTATTTGCAACTTAATTACATCAACTGTAGTTGAAATTTTAGTCCGACTATTGAAATGGAGGTTTACTTGCACGTATCTAAAATAACAATAATAAAGATGGGAATACCAGTACGAAAAATGGGCAAAATTATGGATTTACAATATGTAATGGAAATGAGAATAAGATTCATATTAACATGCATCAAAATCTGAGTCATTGTTATCTCTGTTCCCAAATGATTGACTATATGGGCTCTTGAATATGAATGTGATACAATCCATTTTTAGGTCACGACGGGAAATCAGACAAATTATGTTGTTTTTGGTGGGAGTTTTAATTAATCAAGTGATTAATTCATCAGAAGAAGAATCTAATGGGAAGCTTCCAAGCCATTAGAAGAGCTAATTCTTGTTTGTCTATAACCCACCCCATGGAATATTGGCCTCCAATTGAGAGAGATAACTCTTGTTCCTATAAGTCTGCCATTTACCATCACTAAGTGACAATCTAAAATGGACAAAGAATGATCAAGAGGTCGTGCATCGTCAGATTACAAGTTTTTTTTCGTAAAGAGAAAAAAAAATCGTTACAATGAAGTTTTCTCTTTTCAAAAAAATGATTTTTGCAATGAGTCTTTTTTATATTAAGAATTGTGAATTTACATAATAATATTTAGTGCAAATCAATAATATTTGTGAAGTGTTTTTATTGGCAATTAAAAGTAAGATTAATCATCATAATCATTTAATTAAGCTTATATTTATTATGCTTTACATTTAAGTAAGTTGAAAGGTTTAGATTGAAAAATCATCTATGATACTACATTGGGTTTAAGGGTTAATAGCATTTTGTACCCTTCTACTATGATAAATTAACAAATGTACCCTTCTACTAAATTTTTGCACAAATATACTCTTTTATTATTTAAACGTAACGTATTTACCCTTCCATCTAATTATCCGTTAACTAACCGTTAAAATGATTGTGAAATGACCCAATTGCCCTTCATTTACCCCTAATTTCGATTTTAATCATTTTACTTCCAAATTAATTAATTAAAAGAATCAAACCCTAAACTAATTCTCACACACTCGACCAGAGCATCCGTCTCCCCTTGAAGTATCCGCTGGCCCTCGACACGACGGCGGCATCTCCTCGCCAGACAGCCAGCTTCCCGGAATGCCATCCGTTTATCCCCCTCAATCACACAGCAGGGGGCCAGCTTCTCCGGCTTCTCCCATGATGTTCCGACGCCAGCCTGCAAAAGCTTGACATGATAATGGTCATCGCGTGGCAGCGGCAGACATGATAATGGAGGCCACGGCCAGAACCCAGATAAAGGCAATCAACAGAGTTTGAGTCTTTGTCATTGCCTTTCCTTGATTAATCTGTCTCTTCCGATTACCTCCAAAGTTTAAACCTCAAAGCACACTACTTAATTGCATATTAAGAAGCTTTTGGGTTCGTAAATGGGATGTGGTGAGATTGGGGTTAAAGGGAATATATTGATCGGTCGTCGGCACCGGCAATCTTTGTTCACATTCTTGCCTCGGAGATTGGGGCTAAAGGGATAAAGGCAATATATTGATCGGTGAGATTGAGATTGAGATCGATGGAATATTTTAGGGGGGAGGGGGATGGGTCGGTGAGATTGAGATCGACAGTGTGAGAGATGTTGAAAACGCCGGCGGAAGAGAAGATGAAGCGTTTGGAGTATGGGACGAGAAGAAGAATTGTGAGGGGTGAGTTCTTCCCTCGTATAATTAAAGAAATAAATTATATATTTAATTTCGTTTTTGATAAAAAAAAGTATATAATTAATGAGAACATAAGGGTAATATGGTAATTTTGCATTTCATTTAACGGTCAACTGACAGTAATGTTAACAGAAGGGCATGTTTGTTACGTATTAATAATAGGAGGGCATGAAAGTGCAAAAAAATAATTGAAGGGTATGTTTGTTAACTTGCAATACTAGAGGGGTATAAAATGCTATTAACCCTACTACATTACTACTAGATTCTCGTTAGCAGAATTAAAATGTCTTGTGTTTATGGACGAGTCAAAGTTTATCGACTCATAAAAAACTCCCAAATCAATTTTCTGAATTTCCCAAATAAATTATCTTAATAAAATCCCACCCAATATATTTTGTTTTAACAACAATAGTAACAAAATCATTTGGCGCTGTGACTCTCTCTCTCTCTCTCTCCACCTTCGCCTTCCAACTTCTTCTGAACTTTCGTTCTATTTTCAAGAGAAGAACAAGAAAGGGAAGTTTCAGACTTTAACGAGGTAAACGATGTTCTCTTCTTCCTTCCCACTTCCTGAAATGATCATCTGAGCCTGTTTGGTTGCCGAGAAAGTTTCTAGTAGAGAAAGATAGAAAAGGAAAAAGGACCGAGTAAAGTTGACTTGGAGTTCACTGCAATCCTTCGTTTCCCTTTCCCTTTTTTTGGTGCCAGCTGATAAAGCTTGGGTCCTGATTCTCATGGCTAGGCTAAGTTACTAGATCCTTGGCCTGTGTTCTGTCGGTTTTTTTCTGGGCTTTTTTCCAGGACGGCCAATTTTGGTCTCTGTAGCTGTTTTATGATTCTGGGTCTTGTAGATACTGGGAATTCCCAAATCTGTGTCTTTGTGTCTCAACCTTTAAAAGGGTTTTAAGTGGAAATTGTGTAAATTTTCTGGCTTTGGTTGCTCTAAGTGATGATATCAAGCTGAATTTTCCTTCAGGTTGCTTGGTTCTTCAATGGAGGGCAATTGGAGTGTGTGAGAGAGAGAATTTAGGGCTTCCTTTGAGCAGTTATCACAACGATCTTCTGTGTTGATTTCTAAATGTTTATGATGAAATTGCAGTTAGTTCTTGTCCCTTGAGTAGCATTTTGACTTTTTCAGAGCAACTTAGTAGCTTGAAGTTTGATGTTTTTTTTCCTTCATTTACGTATCAAGCAGTAGCGGAAGAGCTTCAAGAGCAATGGAGAAGACAGTCCGTTATTGCTGTGTATCGCGTGGTAATCGAGCTCTATACGTATACACCAAAGAAGGCCAACAACAAGACATCGAGGAGTTAGCCACATTGTGTTTAGAAAATCCTCCTTTGTACCACAAGTGGTACTTCGAGACTATCGGCAAAAGAACATTCGGGTTCTTGATGGAAGACGGCTTCATCTACTTCACAATTGTTGATGAAGGGCTAAGGAGTTCTGGCGTGCTTCGTTTTCTCGAACATCTTAGAGACGAATTCAAGAAGGTTACTCGAAAGGGCTCCCGAGGAAGCAGCTTCTCGGGGTTGAACTCGATACTTCAAGAACAGCTAGTGCCGGTCATTTCCCAGCTGATCAATTCTCTGGAGCACAGATCTTACAATGAATGGAATGCTGGTGCCATCAGTGGTCTCTCTCCCTCAACAAGCCAGATCGAGCTTACCAAGGCTCCATTGTTGGGGAAACCAAGCAAGCATGAGAAGAAGAAGTCAGCAAAGGATCATGTGATTGCCATGAGGGATATCGACTCAAATAAGGCTTGTGAGTTGACCACTCAAGATACGAGTAGTCAAGGGGCTTCTGTGGGAATTCCTCAATCCTCAGCTCAAAAGGATTTAGGAGGATCGACAATGAGGATTAGGCCGAGCTCTCAGAACATTCGGAAGAAATGGTGGAGGCAAGTGAAGATAGTCCTGGCCATTGATGTTGTTGTTTGCTTGGTGTTGTTTATAATCTGGTTGTCAATCTGTGGAGGGCTCAGATGCATTCGTTGATATCAATTAGTAGTATATAACCTTTTCGGTTTGAGATTTTTTGTGGCTAGGAAAGCATGTGTTAAAGAATAGATTTTTATCTTATGAGACGAAAAAGATTGAGTGAATTTTGTGAGGATTTGGAGATAGAGCAAGAAGAGCCTTGTCAGGCCAAGTTACCTAGTTCATTGTACAGTTTTGCAATGCTAGAGGCAGATCTTTTGTCACTGTCTTGTTGTTTCTAGATGCCAATTCTTTAAGCATTGGTTTCTGGGAGAATTGTGAAACCCTTTTCTCTGTGATTGGGGCGAATGAAAATTGAATACCTTTCCATAAGGTCTAACAAATCCGTCGTAATAGTCGATTTTTAACAAAACAGTTAGCGAAGTTTAAAATAATTAGCATATGAGTCGTTCTGTCAGCTCACTTTGCTCATCCCTTGGCTTCAACATTCAAAGTGCAATACAAGAATCCAAGAGGACAACAAGAAGGGATTCATACATAATCTATTCTAATCAGTTCTAGTCAACGTCAACGTGAGATCGAAACTAGCTTCATATTCTATCTGTAAAGCCTAAAGATTTAGACTTTCGTTCTGGAACTTCACTTGGAAAACAGCATAGTGATGATTCAAGCTCTTCTCCCCTTGCAGTCTGTGAACACTGCCCAATGCACCTGCGTTTGCATTTGGAAACGCATAGAATATCCGCCTGATTCGCTGGTGAACAAGTGCCATTGCACACCTTCAAGAGTTCAAACAACCAAATGTCAGTCGGCTATAACACAATTGCACCATTTGGGAGAAATGGATAAGATCCGAGAAAAAGCAGCTACCACCAACAAAAGCATGGCATGACAAGAGCTAAGTAACAGATTGTTATTGTGCTCTGGGAAGTGAAGATCAGATCATATGACTGTATAAGGCCAACTGGTTTCATTTTTCCAACTCGGGAGGAACAGAATGAGATCAACGACACTTACATTGGACACGGCTCACAAACAAGGAAAATGTCGTAGCCTGTGCATAAATAAGGTCTCATCAATGCAGAACTAGAATCATGATTACCAGAATCCAACCCATTCCCAACAGCCTTCACCTGATATATGGTAGCCAGAAATCAGTGAGAAGATGGCATTCTCAAACCAAGTAATTATTTTTGTATGAGACAATTCCTAAGTGACAAATACTGAATAAAAACATGCAGGTTTGTCATATAGACGAAGAAGCTTACATTTTCGTGGTCGGGTTTCTGCCTTTTTGCAGGTGACCTTTCACAAGCAGACAGCATAGGCTCCACTTCAAAGGACTGATTTGCAAGATTATCTGAGCCAGGGAAAAGGCGTCTATCCCTTTCAGCAGAAGATTCGATAGCAACAAGAGCAGCATGGCGCAACGGATGCCATTGATAAGAAGTTGATGTACTGCTGCATTCTTGCTGAGACCATTGCCAAGGATTTAAACAAGATGCAACAATGCGCAATCTTTGAGGCTCCTCAAGAGATTCACCTGAAAGAGGATTTCCTCCTTGGCTCTGTATTCCATTTGAACTATTGCAACAGCTAGTAGCCGATTGATGTTTGTGGCATGAGTGTGCTTCATCACATGCACTTGCAATGATCTGCTGAACTGAAGGATTGACGATGACTGCAGCATTAGTTATCTGCACGCATGAGAATAAGGATGGAGAATAAGAGAACCATTGTTAGTAGGCAATCACAGTGAAAACATAACTTCAGACGGTCCTATTCAATTCAATGATCGATTCATTTGCTTTGAGAAGAAAACACATGAAGTAGTTACCAAATTGTCTCTAGTGTTTGCCAAATCAATGGCCATTTTCATGAAGCGGTAAACTGATTGTGAATCCTCATCGCTGAATCCAGTAATGCCATCAATGTTACTGCAACAGAAACAAATAACGGATAAGTATGGATAGAACAATCTAATACACAATCATAATGATACATATGCGGGAATCTTTCCTAAGAGATAAAGAGTTAGATAATAACTCAGAAGAGGAACATAAACCTTTTTATGGGGAAAAAATCACAGAGAGACGAGACTTACAAAGTAGGCGGATGGTATGATGTCGGCCATAGCTTGCATTGTTCTACCCATTGCTCTTTGGATGTTGCAGCATATTTGCATACCTAGAAATGAAAACTTGTAAAAGACATAGCTTTTCCCCTAGAGACAAGAGAAGAATGCAGGCTAATCCCGGTGCAGCCCAATGTTCCAAATATCCCAAGTTCCAGAGTTATTACATAATCCAAGGATTTATGACGAGTAACTCCTAAGAACCCGAAAAATGCAGCTATATCATTTCTTTAACTACCGAAAAACACCTGGTTTAGCACAAACAACCAGCAACATAACATGCCTAGTTCATCATCACGATCTCGGTTCTTTATCATGCACAACCACACTAGAAACTCAGAAAGGAACTGAAAAGCACAGACAACACAAAACGAAAGACCCACTTGTGTGACAAAAGGACTCAACTGGTAGGAGTCGACTAGCTCTTTCACAGCCTGAGGCAAGGCGATCCGCTGGTCATCATTCCCAGAAGCAAGACACAAGATTATTGACAGCTGAACTTTTCCTGTTAGAAATCAGTTCACAGAAGCAATAGCAATGAGAAAGATCGCAAAGGACAGAACACAAAAACGAAATGGACAACAAACTTAAACACCCAAATTCCAAATTTACAACCTTCAAGATGCCTCTTATGTATTCGCTTAACATGGGGGAGATCCTCAAGTGGAGCTATCTGATTCAACCTCCTACTCCAAAACCAAAAGAAAGAGCAGACGACATTGGTGACCATCTGTTTACTAAATGGGGAGAAAGATGGGAACTTTTCAGGTCCAGGAAGCTCGAGAGCAACTAAACAAGAGACGAATTTGAACCTGATGAGATTGTTGGCATGCTTCGGCTCGGTTAACACAGAAGCAAACACGCTCACTGCAAAAAAGGAACGAGGCATTCTCTGAAATCGAGCACACAAAATTTGAGGGGGAAAAAGAGGCGAATGGAAATCGGGAAGAGATGATTCTTTCACTTACCGGTGGGTTGCTGATCGGGAGGGATTGGTGGGGTGTCAGGAATATAGGTAATTTCTACGCAGCAGTCGGTTTTCTTCGCGCCGTCCATGGATGAATCGTTGTTCTTCTTCCTTCACCCTGAGCAATCAACTTTACAGTTTGGAATTTGGACTTCTGGGTTCCTGTAAAGCAATCGAGAGGGAGAGTTTTCTTCCCAGTGTTGCCTCTCTGCGTAGCCTATTTCTCCTCCGCCGACGGCGGCGGTTGTAGGAAAGGCGGGAGAGGGTATCCGGAACATTTGCGTATGATGGTCCTTGGGCCTTAATTTCATGGGCCACGTAAAGCCTTCTTTTGGAACTAGTAATCGGATTCTCGTCCGTCTCTAACTCTCTATTAATCACTTGATATTGACTAATACCTTTGACCGCCGCAGATGATCGGCCGCGTCTGCGGAGCTTGCAGCTACCCTGCCCATGTCTCAAGACTAATTAAGTACGTCGATGGGAAGAGAGAACAGAGCCTGTGTACTGAATGTTTTCGTTGGTTCTTACGTACAGAGATGCCGGTCGCCGGAAATTGTTTTCCGGTATCTCTATATCTTCCATACTCGTCTCCCCACCTTCGAAATTCCTCTTCATTTGGCTTTGTTCAGTCGGAAGCAGTGAGCTCTGGTTGATTTTTCTGGGTTTTTTCCCGGTTATTTCCCCCCTGTTCTTCGCAAGCAGGGGGTAGAGGTCGGCTCAGAGTCAATATATCGCAGAAAAGTCAATATATCGATAAAATATCGCGATATTTAGACGTATCGCGAGATCTCGTCAATTTCACTTTCTCGTCAATTTATCGCGTTTCGGTTTTGGTTTTGAGGTCACGAAACGTTTCGCGTTTCTCCGTTTCGTGTCGCCGTATTTTCCACTTTTCGCGCTTGTTCCCGCCGATCCGTTGCTCGTTCTTGCGCCGTTTACCATCTCGCGCATTCCTATTTCATCCTGCTGCATCGGCGACGGCTGGTGGCGGTGTTGGTCGCCGGATAAGGGATTTTGTTCTATCTCCCTAACGTGGCCGGAGTTCCCCGGCCTTTCCTTCCTTCGCCAGTCGTAATTTTCCCTGATTATCTGTTGCTCCCCTTTTCCCTCCGTCCCCGTGTCGTTAATTCTTGGACATACGATGATGAATAGTGGCCAATCAACTTCACTACTCGCCCAAACAGATTCCTTTCTTTGGTTTCCGCCATCGCTGGGTTTTCTCGCCGGAAAACAGAGGCTCTTCCCCGTTCTCCTCTGTTCTAACCGTATTTCATGAATAGTGGGTTGCCCGCGGGACTATCTCCGACGTCTGTCACAATTATTGGTTCCCTCGGAAGAGAAAAAAAACAGAGCATTCTGTTCATACGGAGACAGGGAACGAAAGAAATGGTTTCCTTTCCTTTCTCTCTCCTTATCGTCGTGGACTCTCCAGTTTGCAAATAGTAAATCCTAATCGAGTTTGCGATGGGAAGATTTTGTCTTTTGTCCAGTGCTTCAAATGAATCCAAAGCTGGACGAGATGCATATAGAAAAGTACTTAACTAGATACGGTTACATACACCACAATCATAATTCCTCCCCAAATGCCGATCAACCGGCCATCATTAACAGCTATTGTTAAGTTTCAAACGGAACAACGACAGATCAGTAATCGATTGAGCTGCACAAACGCCATCGCTGGAAAGCAGATTTGTTTGCATCCCGCCTATGAACCTAACCTATCTGGGCGGGCAGAAAGGGTCCAAAACAACGTTGTCCAAGCTTAGAACAGAATAGATTATCTATATGCTCCTACGCAGCTTTGCAGCTGCTGTTCCCCTAACTCGACCTTGAAGTTTCTCATTACTCGTATTTTTCATATTACTGCGGCGACCCTGCTTCCCACGACACTTCTGTTCGTCTGAAGACCCTGGAGATTGCTGTCTCTGGTGCCAAGAAGACGACAATGGCGAGAGAGCTGCTACTGCTCCTGCTGCGACTCTGGATCTTGTCAACCTTCCTTCCCCTACAACCCTTTGTTGCTGGTGTTGTTTCTGCTCGCGCTTATGACTTGATGGAGTGGTCAAAGGTGCGGACTTAGCACGTTCTAATACGGAGGGGCTCTGCTGATGGGCTTCAACTTGCAGCTCTTCCTGCTCGGAAGATCCTTGGCCTTGCTCCTGCTCATCAGATGTCTGTGGTTGAACTGGTTTTTTCTCGCACTGCTGCTTATCTCCATGGCTTCCGGCTAGTTGCTCCTCATGCTGCTTCTGATGACTCGATACCTGCCCTTCAGACCTTTGGTGCCCTCCTTCCTGATCAGATCCTTGCCCTTGAAACTGTTGCTGATACACTAGCCGATCACGAACTTCACTTTCGCACTGAGTCTGCTCCTCATGCTGATTAGCTCCTTCACCTTGAATATGTTGCAGCTGCACTAGCTGATTGGATACATCACTTTGTAGTTTTAGCATCTCCTCTGGCTCTTTAGATACTTGATCTTCAACCTGCAGCGGCTTCCCCAGCTCCTTAGACTGATGCTCTGAATGTAACGAGTTATCAGTTACACCTGGCTCTTTAGATACTTGATCTTCAACCTGCAGTGGCTTCCCCAGCTCCTTAGACAGATGCTCTGAATGTAACGAGTTATCAGTTACACCAGCACATTGTTTCAGCTGTGGGATCCTCACATGACTACCTTCCACTTGCTGTTGGTCATCATGATTATGCTGCATAGATAGATCAATATGTGACTTTAGCATCTCCGCTGGCTGATTAGATACTTGATGTTCAACCTGTGGTGCCTTCCCTGGTTCATTAGGTAGATGCTCTAAATCCAACGACAAGTTATCAGTAACACCAGCACTCAGTTTCAACTTTGGGATGTTCTCGTTAGTACCGTCCACTTGCTGTTTGTCATCATGATTTTGCTGCTTAGATAAGTCACTTTGAAAATTTAGCATCTCCTCTGACTGGGTAGATATTTGATCTTCAAACTGTGGCAGCTTTCCCTGCTCGTGAGATAGATGCTCTGAATATGCCAATGAGTTACCAGATATACTAGCACTTGGTTTCAACTTTGGGATACCCTCATGACTATCTTGCACTTGATGTTGGCCATCATGATTTTGCTGCTTAGATACAATACTTTGCAGTTTTACCATCTCCTCCGACTGATTTGATATTTGATCTTCAACTTGTGGCTGCTTTCCCTGCTCATAAGATTGATGCTCCAAATCCAGCGATAAGTTATCAGTTACACCAGTACTGGGCTTCAAGTTCGGGATACTCTCACGAACACCTTCCACTTGCTGTTTGTCGTGATGTTCTCTATGGTCTAAGCAAGTTCTCACATCACAGAAGTCATTACTAGTCTGGTCCTTACCATGTCCCCCCTGGCATTGAATTTGTCCTTGTTGCTTACCAGGATTTTGAAGATAGATTATCCGCCCAGTACTGGGCTCCAAAGCCAACTCAATTGGAAGTGACTTCCCAAGATTTTGCAACTCCTTTTCATGCTGTGAAGTTAACGGCTCAGCCTGGGGCTGCTGGCAAGTCTGAGTACAATCCCCTGCTGTTGCCCAATTAATATTTGATTCTTTCATAGGGATTTTGACCTCCTGTTTTCTAGCCTGTCTTGATTCCTTGACATTTGGCTCTCTATTCCGAGGTATTTTGAACCTAGGGCCCCTTATAGTCTGGTCCTTATCATACATTAGGCAGGCACTTCTCGGTTTAAGACCCTTTGCAGCTACACTATGAACTCGAGCAGGTTGAGAACTGCTTCTATCATGGACCCACTTACTTTTGCCCTCATTCTCAAGGCCACAAACGATTTGCCGTTCAGATGATTCATTTTGCTGGAGTGGCAGACTCGGAGGGGTTAACTTGATCGTTAGCTTTGTTGGACGTTTTAACTGTTCACTTTGAATACCTATACACGCCTCCTGTTTTGGACAAGATTTCAGCAGTTTATGAACTTCTCGAGTCCTCTTATGATGCTTGGTTTTCCGTTTCCGCTTACCCTGCCTCGTCGCTTTTGAAATCTCGGGCTTGGGTGCAGTTCCTGAAACAGAGTACGGCAATGCCACTACTTCCGTCCCACTATGGTTCGACACATCTACTGCTTTCACTTCATCCATGGCATCCTCCAAAGCTAGTTGAACAGCTTCTGCCTTCTTCAATAACTCCATATACTGCTCCTGTCATAATCAACACAAACCAAAAATTATAAGGTGAACCAGTTTATTGCCACACGACTCCACCCCATCAACGATCAAAAGAAACTTCACTTGCCTCATCAAACAAATGTTTCTTGTTCCCAGCTTCATTAGACTGCAGGTTCTCCTCATGAAACCTTGCCACAGTGTCGCTATAAATTCATGGAAGGAGCAAAAAGTTCAGACATGCTATTGCCACATAATGCTGAAAAATTGAACTAGAAGATTTACCACCAATGGAACACAAACACCAACAGGGAAGAGAATGCACCTTAAATCCCCAATCCTGTTCAACACTCTGTCATGTTTTTTCTGTAGCTTCCTTTTCTTTCCAGCACTTTCAACTTCTAGAGGCTGTAAACAGCTTGCTATCTCAAGGGTTTCCGCATTCAAAGTCGGATCAACTTGAGCTGCTGGATTATTACCTTCCACTTCTTTGCTCGGCAAAATAACCAATGCAGTTCCTTCATTTGCACATTCAGCTTGCAATGTTTCTTGAGGGTCTCCTGAACCTTCATTTCCTCCAGGTTCAGTCATGTTAATTACCCTGTCCACCTCCCCTACATCACCAGCCCCCTGAACAGATTCTTCCTCACCTTCCCTTCCACAAGCAAGTTCGTTCCTTCCATCATCACCTTGCAAAAGTTCGATTCTTTCTACTTCTCTACGAACCACTAGCTTCTCCCTTTCCTCAATTCGGTCAATACTTCCTTCAAACCCAGGTGGGAACTTCTCCTTCTCCATCCCTTCCTCGCTACTACCATCAGTCTGACCCTCACACCCTTCTTCTTCTTCTCCTTCATTACTTACATTCTGACTATCATCCTCATCCTCCACCACCAAATTCTCCTCAACAACTTTCCTCACCTTACTGCCTCTCCATCCCTTCCCACCACCACGCCTACCACGTTTTCGTCCCATTCCACGAATCGAACCGCTGCCACTCTCATTCTCGTCCACTCGAACCAAGTACCGATTCTCTGGAGTCAAAACTATCTCCCTAACCTTCAGAAGCTTATCCAACTCATGAACTACCCTAGCAAAGTTCACAACCGGGGAAACATCGTACTCCCTCACAATAAATTCAGATATCTCGTTCTTATTACACCCCATTCCCTCATTCAACCTCGCCATCGCCTCCCGAATCATCTACACGGACGAAGACAAATCACTTTAAACATCCTACTTCTGATTAAACTCTACTGCTTTTCCCTTCTTCTTCTAAGGTTCCGAGGGAACTTACCACGGGGTAAACGGGATGGTCGTGGGTAACGTTGTTGATGGAGGAAAGGAGCTGCTTGATGAGCTGAACATGGGCCGGCTTCACATGTGGAGTTCTGCTCGCCATTGACTCGATCATGGCGTCTATGTCGACACCGGCCGTCCATCGCTGCTCCTGGAAAGAAAGACACAACTGAAATTGATTACCCAGAAAAAAAAACAAAAACCCTAATGGCGGGAAAGGAAGCGGATGGTAAAGGGAAAAGAAGATAAGTTCGTGAGGAGTTACTACCATGTTGGTGGGTGAGCCGGTGAAGAGGGTGGAGAATCGCCGGACGTATTCCGCCGACATTGTGGGGAAGTTATAGGTAGTGCATGCAACGAAGATCGACGGTTTCACCGTAGATTTCGCTAAGAGAGACGGAGAGAGTTCGGCGGAAGGGTAAAAAGAAGTAAAGGACTGAGTCACCCTCCTAGCGGGTCAATATGCATTCCACTGTAAAAAAAACTAAAAAAGTAAAGACTGAAACTGAAGTGGTTCATAGATAAGTCTAAATTTTGTATGAGGTACAAAATGAATTTGTGAAATACTGAAATACTATTTTGGCCGAAAGACTTTTGAGATTTGAAATTGGAGTACCAGAGTATGAATTTATGATGATATGGTAGAGTTACACTCATTATATAATTTTAGAGAAGATATTACCCATCAATAATCATTGGTATTTTAATCCTTGAAATCTCAAATTGTATAAACTTGAACCCTTCACTTAAGATTTTGATTCTAGGTATAGCTCAAGTCTCATAAGAGTCTTCTAAAACATGATTGATTGATCTCTTACATCGTCAAGATTTATAACTTTTTTAAAAGGCAAATCTATACAAGTTCGCTCTTGTACTTCATTATTTCATCTCTTTCCCCGGCTCAAGAAGAAACATCATATATACAGACACAACATTTACCTATATTATATCACTCGTCAAGTTACAAAGTTACTCGCGTGAGACCTACCCACCTAAAATCACCCATGGGTCACTCTCACTCCTCAAATGTGACATGGAACCTCTTGTACTTCCTCCCAATCCCAACAGGCACATTACCACAACACCCACCACCACCACCAAGTCTTGCCATCTCCATCCCACCATCCCCAATTGGCAAGCTCACAAAATAACAACCTTCTTTGTTCCTCCCCAAAGCCTCCCCAAAAGAAGAACAACCACCTTTGTAACCACCCTTCCCTTTCTTCCTATCCAAGTTATGGCCCACAATCATTGACCCAATTGGGTTCACATCAAGCAACCCCAAGAGCTCCACATGATGCTCTACATCCCCATCCACCACAGCAAAATCAACCCTTTTGTATTTCTTGAGACCCAAGCCACCATCACTACTAGAAACATGCTCCACTACTACATCTCCAAGCTCCATTGACTCCAACTGGGACTTGATCTGACTTTCATGAGTTGATGATGATGATGATGATGAAGAAGGAATATTGTTGAGATTAGTACTGTAAAGAACTACTTTCCCTCCTGTTTGCTTTGCTGCAACAGCAAGTGCCATTGTCAGTGGGGTGATGACATTTGGTGAGGAAGTGATCTCCACCATTAGCTTTGATCTCTTGCCTGCTGCCAATGCTGCCACCAGCTCCATTGATTTGGGTTCTATGATTGATGAAGCACATTGCTTCCTCTGCTCAAAAGACCAATCGATTTAGAGTCATGATTAGAATACTTTGCTTGCACAGCAATCCAGAATTATACCAAATGAAGGAAACTACCATAATGAAGAAAAGAGCACAAGTAGTACAAGTTTAGAGGGTATCCCATGATTTCTCTAATTACCAGCTGAAGGGCATGCAAGTAAGCTTTCATGGCATCCTGAGGAGACCAGTTTTCCTTGGAGAAAGGCATAGTTGAATTGATGTCTATCTTGCAAGTAAAGGACTTGTGTTTGTTATCCTGAATCTGTATGGTTTCGATCTTTGATATTGTGGTGGGTTGGTTGTCCTTTGAGTCGATGAGTTTGGGAATATATAGCACTCGAGCAGTAGATATGTGCCCATAATTTTGAAGGACAGGTGCCCTTAAGGAATTGGCTGCAGAGATGAAAACAACAGAGATGGCTTGCATGTGTAGAGACATCGTGGCAGATGCTGAGAGCATTGCTTTCCCATGTGAGGCCTCTAAAGCCAAAAGTAGTAATAGAACCGTTTGGAAAATCAAATCGGTGACCAAACCATTTATGAGTTGGTGGTGGTACTACTAGAAGGGTCATCAAGAGATTTATGAGCTATTGGAACAGGGTTTCGTTGGAATATTAGGTGATTTTTCAGTTGATCTCAATTAAAACAAAATTTGTGGATAAATTTGAAACTTTTACAATTTTATTAGATGGTGTGTTTAGACTAATAATAAGTTAAATGGTAATATAAGGTACTCGAATACGAGATTTTTCGATCTCGATCACAAATTCTCACATTATGCATGTCGTGAATCTATCAATTCATAAATAATTCCGACTGATTCAGCTTATGAATTCGAAACTTTCATAAACTCTTATTAAGTCAATACGTTGAATAGTAATATCCCAATACAATAGTCACGACTAGGGGTGGAAATCGGTACGGTATCGGTATCCCAATACCAAATAGCGAAATCCCGAATACCGAATTACACCCTAAAATCAATCCCAATCCCAATCCCTAAATAATTTCGGTATCCCAATCCCAATCCCTAAATAATTTCGGTATCCCAATCGGTATCCCAATCGGTATTATCGAATACATAATTAATTACCTTTGCAATTAATAATTAAATATATAAATGATATTTTATTGTTTAATTTAGAGCTAAGAGACTAAGCAAATAGTCTTGAGTTGCCTAGAGCTAACATCTTAAGTTCTTGTAATTGGTAATCTTTAATTTGACGAATTTGAGGTTGAGAGACGACTAATACTAGTGTGAAATTGTGATGTAATGATCTATGTATAATTAAATGACACTTTTGGTGGTTGAGGGTCGCGTAGTATTGAATGAGAGAGTCTAGTTTAGAGGATAAAATACACACTAGCTTATATTTCGGTATTGATCGGTATTTCGGTATATACCGATCCCAATCCCGTAATCCCTAATACCGAATAACAATTGAAATTCAAGCCCAATCCAAATCCCACAAAATAATACGTGTATTCGGTAATACCAAATATAGACAAATTCGGTACGGTATTCAGTATATCCCAAATACCGGTACCAAACTTCCAGCCCTAGTCACGACGATATCTAATATGTAAACGATGAATCGCTACATGCTAGTGATCGGAATGATTGAGAAAGATAGATGTGACATTGGATTCATCAGAGCAGAACTATTATTAGCTTAGGGAATCCAATATCACTAGACTAGCATATGGTAATTGAGTATCCCAATACAAACTTTTGGGTGCTAGGGATAGAAAAATGGCATTATATCATAAGGGTCATATTTATTATAGGCATATAGGGGCAGGTAGGGTGACAAGAGGGACACTTGTCCTTTCCCAAAATAGGTGATTCAGCAACAAAATGGCATATGTGGTCTTCTGCTCTTTACTATGAGAACATGTTGGGAATGTAAGAGAGGAATTTCCTTGAGATGTGAGAACCCCATTTGGGGTTTGCTTATTTATTGCAAGTCAAAAGTTCACCCCAAAGCCATTCTTGCACTCAATCCAGCAAAAATCCAATCTTTATATTATACTACCTACCTATAGTATATATCAGTTCTTTTGTGAAATCAAGGTGCAGATAGCACATGCAATGTACCATAATATGTCATTGTAGGGTAGTTCAAAAGTTTAATAGACTGCCCTTTGGGGAACACCATGAGTAAGTCACCATTTCAGAAAAAAATTGACTTTAGAGGGTCAGACTGTTTGGCTCCATTGTGAGTTTGGATCATTGGAAATGACACATATTGCAATTGTCAACTTGCAATTGATGGCCTTGGAAGTCAGAAATCGGTATGGATTGAATTCGATAAAATTCAATTGTTCGAATTGAATAGTAAAGATTATAAATCCATTCGAAGAATTCTCATTAGAAATATTTCGATTTAATTCACAATCCAATGTCGAGCATTTCAAATTCAGAATTCGATCGGTTGAACCGTGACTCACCATACCTGGGAGGCACAATACTTCTCTTCCTGAAAACTTATCTTAGGCAAAGAATAAGGAAAGGGAACAATAGAGGGAAGTGGTAGCAGCAAAAAGGGTTATGGGATTAGGAACCAAATGTGAACTCTCATCTATACAACTTGGCCGTTCGTTTTAACTACTCCTTCCATTGAAGGCATAAGGAACCAAAATTATACAATTGAGATCTTTACATGAATTCAGGGAAGGTATCAGTAGTGATTCACAACTTCCCATCTACTTTCTGCAGCAACTCTTTAACTGTCTAGTTTCATTCATCCTCCTTGCTCGTTATCTTCTGCAGCAACTCTTAACACTGAAATGTCAGTCGTCAATATCTTTGACAGCATCCTGCATCAAACACAAGAAGTTATTAACGGTTGAAATATAATTCGCTGGATAATAGAAAGCCACAAGCGTTTCAGAATTCAGATTAGGCACCGAGGGGGGCTTAGACGCTTAGTCACCTTGGCAAGCCGTGTTACATAAGCTGCAGCCAATGCTGTTGCAAGCAATCCCAGCCCAAGTGTCAATAGCTGACCGTAATTTCCTCCTCCAGTCAACCCTATCTCAGTTTCTTCTTGCTGAAAACAGGCAAAAGGAACCTGTGTTACAGGAAACCAGCAGAATAACAGATAGAGAATGACACTTTCTGGACAAGCATTTTGGTGATTCTGCCATATTGACACAAATCCACATGTCTTCTTAACAGCTTAAGATGAAGAAGAGAAAGTTTTTGACTTGAGAGGTAAAAGTTCTGCCATATTGAGCAACTCACATGTTAAACAAAAGCCTTCACGCCTAGTCTAATGATTACTACTAGTACGTTCATAATTCTCTAGCAAGCTGCCATATCTATTTGTACGACGAAGTTAGAAAGGAAATAGCAAACTCACAATTATAGCGCGACCAAATGCACCAGCGCTCACGTAAGCCCATGTGCCTGGAAGCATCCCAAGCCAGCTGCATTCAATTTCGAAACGAACTTAGTTATGAAAAAACCACACAAGTTAAAGATTCATCAAAGTCCCAAAGTCATAAGAGTTTCAGTTCCTCCTTCTAGATGGTATAGCTCTCATAAGAACTAGAATTGAGTGACAGAACAGCATACCTCCCCATAACATACGGCACAAACTTGACTGATGTCAATCCATACAAGTAATTTCCAAGGGAGAACGGGAGCAAAGGGCTCAATCGAAGAAGCGTGACAACTCTGAAGCCATTTTCGCCAATTGCCTTGTCGATTGCAAGAAACTTCTTATTTCCTTCAACAAGTTTTAGGATTCTCTCACGGGCAAAATACCTAGCAATTAGAAAAGCAATGCTTGCTGCAACCTGAAATGGATGCAAACGACTGTAAGGGAGTGCGAAAGTCTATAGACACCGTGACAGAACTTCAGAGACAGACATAATAAACCAACTTACTGTTCCACTTATTGAGACTATGATGGTGCCAATAAGAGATCCGAAAAGAAGACCAGCCGACATCGTCAATGGGATTGCCGGAATTGCAAGAATCTAGCACCACAATCTCAAATCAGTTACAGGAAATAACAACTTGGGCCACGCATCTACCATATGAACTTGCTGTCACAGTATGACAGTATGCAGAACTTCACAAAATGTCCATATGGGATTATAGCAATATGCTAAATTAAGTGTCAAAATCATCACATGTATCATGCATGTATCTATCAGTAGCTACTAGTATGGAGACCACGAAGAACTTCTTATAGATCTCACAAGATGCGTGAAACTGAATTGATTAAGGCCTAAATAAGACTATAAGAGAATGAGCACATACCTCCAATCCTGCATATACTGCCACAAACAAAGCATATCCAGCTGGTCCATAACCTGTTCAGAAGAAAAGCAAGTCGCTTAATACAGAAGGCATTTTTTAATGAGGACTGGTGAAGAATTACTGAGCATCTTCAAGCCGCACAATTTAGCAAACCATCAAACTGAATAGAGCAAGGAAAAGCGGAACCAAAGGATCAATAGAATGGAAGGGAATCAGACAGAGATTGGAGATGGGAAGATCATTTACACTGCAAACCAGTCCAACAAACTTCATCAAGATAGGACCAACCATTCTCATGCTGCATTTCCTACTGTAAATTTCCATCCTTGAAGCTCTCAATCCAAATTCTACTTTCTTGCCAATGAATGCTCGAATTCTCAAAGAAAACTAACTAAACTGAAAGGGAACTGCAGCTGCCATCCATTTTCACTAGCTAAATGCGGGAGCTGAGAACGAGAAGCTCCATCCACACAATGTAGATCGATTGGCAACAAAGTTCTCAAGCATTCCCAACCCAATAGTTCAAGAATTCCCAAGAACTCCCCAATTCAAGAAAATTACCAGAGTGAGACGATTGCATTCCACTACCAATTCATCCCATCACGCAAAAATTCCCCCAATCACAGAGCAACTCGAAGCTCAATCAATTGAAATCGAAAATGGGGAACAAAAAAAGACTATTACCTTCAATAAACCCGGAGAACTGATTCAAGAACGCGTTGATTTGATCCCTGTAAACATACCCAACAGTCCCGAACCCACCAACGACACCCACAAGCAAAACCCCAGCAAGAATCGTCCCTTTCATCGCCGTATCCCCTTCCAACCCACCTCCCCCGTCCCCGCCGTCGCCCTTAACAACCTTCTTTCCACCTCCTCCCTCGTCGTCATCGTCGCCCTTCGAGTTCAAGAACCACCGCAAGCTCTGAGGAGGAGCTCCATTCTTCTGCTGCTGCAGCTGCTGCTTCTTGCGCGTCTGCTTGAGGGACGAGCAAGGGGATAAGAAGTG